GGTACAGAGATCCTGAAGAGATTGAAAAGGAAGAGTGCCTTTGCTGATAAAGCTGTGGCCAATGTGGAATTTCGCTGAGTGCACTGCTTCAGTTCCCGAGGTTACTGCTATTCCGCCTGAGGTTGCAGACTGGTCTGAAGGCATGCAGGTGCCTTCTGTGCTGATCCAAGCCATTCCCTATGGAGATTAGAGTACTCAGAAGATTGGCTGCAGCTCCCACTCTTAAGGCCACCGAATGGGTAGGAACAACCAGACTTTTCTTCCACAGACTCCAATGCAAAGTGGAAATAACATTGATGAAAAATAAACATCAATATCAAACGTGTGTGTATAGAGCTCTTATGAGATTAATCTGTTATTCTAGAACTTGGAATTACCTATTTATATCATCTTATCCTGAAAAGCTTCATTAATATTATTCAACTAATGTTAATATTAAAATTATTGATTTTTTAAAGAATAGAACATTTTATTCATTGACTCAGCACGTCTTTCTTAACTTCCTTTTATGCACTAGATAGTCTAGGCACTGTCGAAGTAAAAGGGAAAAGAGAACCTGATCTCCTATAGTTTACCCTACAGGAGAAGAGATAGAAAATAAACAGACACATGAGTATAGAACATAATGATAGTAGTTAAAGAAAAATGAAGTAGGGAGAGAAATGAGGGAATTGAGAGTGTCTTGAGATAGGGTGGTCAGAGAACATTACCTGAAAAGGTGATATTTAGGCAGAGACATTTTCATTCATTCATTGGACAAATACTGAACATTCAATATGTGTAGCTCACTAGGCTTGCTATAGAATAAGACAAGACCCCTGGTTTCTAAGAACTTACTATCCAACCGAGGAGCTGAAACTATATAACATTACATGCTATCAGTAAAATATGAACAATGTAAGAGGACAAAAGGGGGGAAATTTTTTTTTCTATCTCAATTACTAAGAAAATCTACCAACATAGATAGACCTTAGAGAACTGGTGTGTGGATGGTAGATACAGATTTGTGTGATGAAGGAAATGCATAGAGAGATGGGAAAACACACCGCGAATGAAGACACACAGCCTACAAATATAAGGGATACTTGAAGAACAATAGGAATATTGTTTAGGTTAGACAAGAAGGTGTGCTTTGGGAATTTGACCCTGAACACCCCTACCAGTTCAAAAGAGCTTTTGCAAGCAAGACATTGATTTGAAACCTTCCATTCTGTCTTTAAAATTCTGAAGAACTTTGCATCCTATTACATTAATTTATCTATCCTTATTTTAACAAATAAATATTTGTCAGTGCCTTTGCTGATAAAGCTGTGGCCAATGTGGAATTTCGCTGAGTGCACTGCTTCAGTTCCCGAGGTTACTGCTATTCCGCCTGAGGTTGCAGACTGGTCTGAAGGCATGCAGGTGCCTTCTGTGCTGATCCAAGCCATTCCCTATGGAGATTAGAGTACTCAGAAGATTGGCTGCAGCTCCCACTCTTAAGGCCACCGAATGGGTAGGAACAACCAGACTTTTCTTCCACAGACTCCAATGCAAAGTGGAAATAACATTGATGAAAAATAAACATCAATATCAAACGTGTGTGTATAGAGCTCTTATGAGATTAATCTGTTATTCTAGAACTTGGAATTACCTATTTATATCATCTTATCCTGAAAAGCTTCATTAATATTATTCAACTAATGTTAATATTAAAATTATTGATTTTTTAAAGAATAGAACATTTTATTCATTGACTCAGCACGTCTTTCTTAACTTCCTTTTATGCACTAGATAGTCTAGGCACTGTCGAAGTAAAAGGGAAAAGAGAACCTGATCTCCTATAGTTTACCCTACAGGAGAAGAGATAGAAAATAAACAGACACATGAGTATAGAACATAATGATAGTAGTTAAAGAAAAATGAAGTAGGGAGAGAAATGAGGGAATTGAGAGTGTCTTGAGATAGGGTGGTCAGAGAACATTACCTGAAAAGGTGATATTTAGGCAGAGACATTTTCATTCATTCATTGGACAAATACTGAACATTCAATATGTGTAGCTCACTAGGCTTGCTATAGAATAAGACAAGACCCCTGGTTTCTAAGAACTTACTATCCAACCGAGGAGCTGAAACTATATAACATTACATGCTATCAGTAAAATATGAACAATGTAAGAGGACAAAAGGGGGGAAATTTTTTTTTCTATCTCAATTACTAAGAAAATCTACCAACATAGATAGACCTTAGAGAACTGGTGTGTGGATGGTAGATACAGATTTGTGTGATGAAGGAAATGCATAGAGAGATGGGAAAACACACCGCGAATGAAGACACACAGCCTACAAATATAAGGGATACTTGAAGAACAATAGGAATATTGTTTAGGTTAGACAAGAAGGTGTGCTTTGGGAATTTGACCCTGAACACCCCTACCAGTTCAAAAGAGCTTTTGCAAGCAAGACATTGATTTGAAACCTTCCATTCTGTCTTTAAAATTCTGAAGAACTTTGCATCCTATTACATTAATTTATCTATCCTTATTTTAACAAATAAATATTTGTCCCCTACACTTTGAGTAAAATTAACATTTTAGAAGGTGTGCATGTGGCCAGGGGGTGGCATGGTGGTTGAAGTGCTGGATTCCCATATGACCGCCTATGGTTTGAATCCTGGACCTGGTGACTTGCTTTCTCACTTTCCTTTTCTCTCTGTCTCACTCTAGTCAAATCATAATAATAATAATAATAATAATGATAATAATAATTCTTAAAAAGAAACAAAATGGTGTACCACGGTCATGGTATGGCTGCCAGGGTCCCAGACGTTCACATATAATTCTGAAAAGCCGAGATAGAAGAATAGAAAGAAAGAACATCCCTTCTGTCTGAATTTCGTCATGTAGGAAATTGTTAACTAGTAAGTGTTTTTAAATAGGCCTTATCTTTGATCATGCCATTTCCTCCACCCAGAGTGCTTTCATCTTAAGTCCTACCCATTTTTTATGGTCCAGTTCAAATACTAGCTTTCAACTCAGCCTTGTGTGATTTCCACCCTGAACTTCCATGGAGCTAATCAGTACTTTCTTAGCACTTAATGCATGTCACCTTGCTTTTCGGTCATTATATGCTAATGGCTCTAACCCCTGCAGCACCATGAACAGAGATTTTCACACAGAAAACAAGAAATGCTAGTAGGAGGAATGGCTATTAAGAGCTCCAGAGTGGAATGGTTAATCTAGTAGCAGGATAAAGAATGTATCAGAGGTGGATAGTAGAGTTAGTAATACTGGTTAACAGACGGTTCCAATTGTTCGATCATGAGTTAGTAAGCACTGAACTAGGAAGCCATCACTGGCTATTTAAAATAAAGTGGAATGAAGATGTAGCATTGTGGAGGTAGAGTCTGAGTATATGGTTTGCCTAAGAAACAAGAAGACATGCATGAAGCTGAAATTCTGGTCTTTAAATTTGGGAATTCAGGTCAAAGTGTTGGTATGAAGGGGTGATGGAAGATTTGGTTTAGTGTTATGTTAAGATCTGTTGCCGATAGAAGTATTTATAGGACTGTCAAGGGGCAAGTAGAAACTAACATTGGTAAAGGTTATGAATGAAATAAAGTTAAGACAGATATTGATATGGAAGTGAGATTGGAAAGTATAGATGTAGTGGTATCTTGTATCTCTCATCAAGTGAGTTTGAGTGGACAGAGAGGAGTGAAGGAATAACAAAACTAATGTTTACGTTAAAGGAGTGAGAGAAAGAAGGGAAAGGAAAACAGAGACTAAGGAATGAAAACCAGGGAGAGAGGATGTGTTGGAAATAAGAGTTTCAGGAGGAGGAGAAAGTCATCCCTCCAGGGCAATCAGAGGACCTTTAGCACAGTGGGAATAGAGGCAAGATTTCAGGGAGGTGAAGAGAGAATGAGGGTAAAGACACCAGAACTATAGTCATAAATGCTCGTTTGAGACGTGGATCACTCTAGAAAGAGAAAGAGATTTAGCATAGGCTACTTTTCAGAGCTCAAATTGTCAAGGGGAATCAGAATTGTATTTGTACCTCACAATGAAAATTTTTCTTTTTATGCCAGAAGGCACATATGCATGTGTACATGTAAGAGAAGGAGCACTGTTCTTTGGGGCCCTGTCACAACATGGTGCTTTTTCCTCCAATTCTCTATGCATCAGGATAATGGGCACATACATGTATACCCAGCGTGTAAGCCAAGGTGGCTGGAACTCAAATCCTGGTTGCCCATATGGGATCCAGCTTCTCTTGTGCATGCTTAGCTGTTACAATGCAGAGTGGCTCTAATTTTTACACTATTCTTCTTAACAAAACACCAGGCATTTTATTCTCTGTCCCTCCTCACCTATCTTCAAATTTATCAGCAGTGCCCCAAGATACTGGTCTCTCTAAAACTATTTCTGTTTAAAATACACCTGTCCCCAGTCCCATTTTTCCAGAGTAGTGTTTTCCAAGTGTGTTTCAAAATGGTAGTTCTTCAAAATGCTGTGTGAAAGGGAATTCTGTGGTTAAGTAATTTTGGAAAATGCCACAGGGAATATTAGCATGTCAAATCCCATGAGAAGTTTTGATTAAAAACAAACCTTACTGATTTTGCTCAAACTTCTAAACATTATAAGTTCACAGATCCGCCCATCCTGTTTATTCTTATTATCACAAAACTCAGGGGTTTCATAATACCCACAGGGGGAAACTCTGCTTTAGAAACTCGATGATGGGTAATTAATCTGGTAAATGGATACTTATTTAATGGATGTAAAAGGATAATTAACTTTCTGATGTTAAATATTCATCATCTACCAGAGAATTCAATGACAGAATCGGAACGAAAGTTCATTGTGGGAAACTTAGTATTATAGATGACACGTGGGGATAAAGTTTTGTGCAGAATGGTCTTTAGACCTCTCAAGTTCCACCACCCTAAGGGAAAATGGCTACTCAACATCTATAGCAATTTTAAATTCAGAGTTAAATTCTATATCCTTTTTTCCCAGAGCCATTATGGTGTTTCGACGCCAGAACTTTAATCAATTCTTCATCCAGTCAGAGGAATGGAAAGGAGGAATACAGCACCAGGATGACATCTTATGTGCTGCATTTTTACCTCCGCAAACTCTTGTCACAGGTGAATTCAGCCGTCACTTGACAACCAGTGGTGACAGTTGGGTTTCTTTTGGTTCATTCACTTTGACAAAAACCTTTTCTGGATTGCAAAATGAATACATTTATTGAAGAGGCAATCCTTTAAATCTCTTTTCGAATCTTATTGCTAGGACAATACATTAGTGATTAAGAACATCAGCTCCAAGGCTAGTAAGTGGCATGGTGGTTTAAGGGCTTGGACTCCCACATGGTCAACTGCAGTTCAAGTCCCAGACCTGGCTGCTTGACAATCATGTAGGGCATGTATGCATGTGTACCCCTAATCCTAAGAGGATAATGGAGGACAAGGGACTGCAATATGGTCATCCCAGCTGGGAGGCAATTTCTCACTTTCTGTTAGTCTCTTTCTGACAAGCATATTCACCCTATAGCAAAAAAAAAAAAAGAAAGAAAAAGAAAAAGAAAAAATCATCAGCTCCTATACCTGGCCCTCTGGCTTCACGTCAAGGTTCCCCTCTGGCTACGAGTAATCTATCTATAACTTGGTTTGCATTCAGGTTACTTATATACAATTTAGCACAGTGCTTGGCACACAATATACTCACCAGTAAAAGTTAGTGGTTATTTTATTGTCCATTTTCCAGGAGCAGCAGTAGGACTGTTGGATATGAATGACCTCAGTGGTACTCCCAAGTTTCACAATGGGAACATACTAATCCCTGGGCATGGTGTTGCCCGGGTAATGTAGGTTAAAGATCATCTTCACAAAATGTCTACAAATCCAGGGTCTTAAAGTGATCTACAGGCATGCTTTGATGTGACATATTAAAGAGCATACAAAATTGTATCATTTCTGGCCAAAGAACGCAAAGACAGAATGCACCATGAATTTTTCAAGTCCATATTTTGACAGCTGATTTTTCTTTTTTATAGAACCAAAAATGTCATCAATTAAGATAAATAAAACTTATAGGAAAAAGATCCAGGCTATCTATGAAATTTGCTGATCTATCTACATTTCAAGTTACACTATTTTTCAGGACTTATCTGATTAGTGTTCTCTAGGGCCAACTGTATAATCACATTTGCTTTAAGTTTACCTCTGCAGGATGGTCACATCCTAAAATGTGATGGGGGCAGTGAATAATAAAACTGTATGGTTGTTGTGCCCATGTCATAAAATACCATTGTATCTTTGGGTAGATAGTCTTTTCATTAATTTTCATCCCATCAATCCCATGTGAAAATGTTTGGCCAAACAGTTTTCAATAAAGAATTTCAAAATCATAAGAGAAGATGGAAACCTTTATAAACAAGTTTTTGAAACATTCACAATGAGCAGATATTATCATTCTTCGGCCCTTCAGAAACTCAACAATCAAAATGCCTTAAGCAACCCAAAAAACTTCTAGCAGTTTGCTCTTTTTTTTTTTTTCAAGTCCCAGACCTGGCTGCTTGACAATCATGTAGGGCATGTATGCATGTGTACCCCTAATCCTAAGAGGATAATGGAGGACAAGGGACTGCAATATGGTCATCCCAGCTGGGAGGCAATTTCTCACTTTCTGTTAGTCTCTTTCTGACAAGCATATTCACCCTATAGCAAAAAAAAAAAAAGAAAGAAAAAGAAAAAGAAAAAATCATCAGCTCCTATACCTGGCCCTCTGGCTTCACGTCAAGGTTCCCCTCTGGCTACGAGTAATCTATCTATAACTTGGTTTGCATTCAGGTTACTTATATACAATTTAGCACAGTGCTTGGCACACAATATACTCACCAGTAAAAGTTAGTGGTTATTTTATTGTCCATTTTCCAGGAGCAGCAGTAGGACTGTTGGATATGAATGACCTCAGTGGTACTCCCAAGTTTCACAATGGGAACATACTAATCCCTGGGCATGGTGTTGCCCGGGTAATGTAGGTTAAAGATCATCTTCACAAAATGTCTACAAATCCAGGGTCTTAAAGTGATCTACAGGCATGCTTTGATGTGACATATTAAAGAGCATACAAAATTGTATCATTTCTGGCCAAAGAACGCAAAGACAGAATGCACCATGAATTTTTCAAGTCCATATTTTGACAGCTGATTTTTCTTTTTTATAGAACCAAAAATGTCATCAATTAAGATAAATAAAACTTATAGGAAAAAGATCCAGGCTATCTATGAAATTTGCTGATCTATCTACATTTCAAGTTACACTATTTTTCAGGACTTATCTGATTAGTGTTCTCTAGGGCCAACTGTATAATCACATTTGCTTTAAGTTTACCTCTGCAGGATGGTCACATCCTAAAATGTGATGGGGGCAGTGAATAATAAAACTGTATGGTTGTTGTGCCCATGTCATAAAATACCATTGTATCTTTGGGTAGATAGTCTTTTCATTAATTTTCATCCCATCAATCCCATGTGAAAATGTTTGGCCAAACAGTTTTCAATAAAGAATTTCAAAATCATAAGAGAAGATGGAAACCTTTATAAACAAGTTTTTGAAACATTCACAATGAGCAGATATTATCATTCTTCGGCCCTTCAGAAACTCAACAATCAAAATGCCTTAAGCAACCCAAAAAACTTCTAGCAGTTTGCTCTTTTTTTTTTTTTTTCTTTTTAGGTGTTTGCCATAGGGTACATGCACTCAAATCCCAGACCAGACAGCTTAAAATACCCTGGATGCATGTCCATGTGTGCCCAAAATCCTGAGAGGAGATTGTAGGAGAAAGAATAGCTGTGCAGCCGTCTCCCAAGGAGGCAATTTCTCACATTCCCTCTGTCTCTCTCCAGCGAGCACATGTGCCCTATGGCAAAAACCTTAAAAACGAAACAAAACAAAAAAACTAGTTGTTATTATTCACATCTCCAAATACAGAAAGTGCCTACTATGTGCCTGATTCTGTGTAAGATATATTGATAATGACTTTTACTTGCTGTGGTTCAAACTTTCTCTCTAACCTTTTGGCAATTTATAATCTCCAACCTGGCTTGTATAGGGAGCTATGATGGAGAAATTGTTCTGTGGAATAATAGCACGGAAAATGCTCACCACGTCCTTCACCCTGATTACCAGAGGCTGCTCAAATCACAATCAGGTGGGTATAAGTTGGAAACTAAAATAATCTGTCTGAGTCAAACCACAGTAGGCTCAGTTGTTTATGCATGTACCTGATGCAGCTTGCTCTTAAATTATAGATGATTGGCTGTAAGTGCAAAAGATTAGTGATATAGTTGTCTTGTCAAAGTGGCTAAAAAGAACCTTGAGATTTACTTGGCTTAGCAAATTCTCCACGCCATGCCATTTCTTCTCTTTATGCTACATCAGCGGTTCTGAATTACTGACAGCAGGAAGCAGGCCTCTCATTTTTATCTAGTTTAGTTTTTGCCAATAAACCTCACCAAATTGCCTTTGAATGAACCTTGGGTACACCTTGGTAGGAAAATGGGAACTTCTGTTCACTTGATAGGCTGTCCAGGCTCAAGCTCAGGCTTGTATTAAATATTATGCCACCTGGAAATATTAAATAATTTCTTACTTCAGAAACCTGGGAGGAGCATTCGACAAGAGTATGTTGTAATTTATGGGAAGTTAGCAGAGAACGTGAATATTTTATATCTAAGCAAAATGTCTTTAGAATTCTTTC